TGAACATCCCTAATCCAAAAATCTGAAACTTTTGAGTGCCATCATGATGCTCAAAGGAAATATGTTCATTGTAGCATTTTGGATTTCGGATTTTCAGATTCAGGATGCCCGACCGGTAAGTATAATACAACTGTATCAAAATCTGAAAAAATCCAAAATTCCAAATAATTCTGGTCCCAAGCATTTCAGATAAGGGATACTCAATCTATAGCTCCATTTTAGAAATGAGGGAACAGGCTGAGATGCATTCAGCTAACTTTCCTGGGTCTCATGACTGGTAAATGGTAAATTTTGAACTAGCACTGCAATTATGTGACCCTTTTCAATAAGTCTTTCAACACTCCATTTCTGGATGATTTTAGGAAGCTTTAATGCTGGGATTGGAGTGAGAATGACGTCAGTGGAAGTTATATTTTAGAGGGAAGCCATGTGAATGTGCTTTTTGGTGGGGAACAGAGGTCGATTCTTCTTCTGTTTAGTTCTCACCTACTTTTGAGTTACATTTACTCTCAGAAATGGCATGGGATTTTATTGTTACCCCACATTATTCATAATTTAACAATCAGTAAAGAATACATTTATTGGCTGGCCTTTTGAATTAAAAGTCAGTAGCTTTGAGATAAAAGAAAAGAGTTGTATTGCAAGAGTCTCTAAGTGTAGGATTCCTATTCAGACAATAAAAGTAGTTCCCTGATGGAATGGGCCATGCAAAGTTGGAGTACGCTCTAGTAGACATTGGAAGTTCTTAGTTTCTATTGTAATGAGAATGAATAGACTGATTAATTTCTTTGGCTTTAATATTACTTTTCTACAAACTTAAACAGATTTCTACAGCTTTAGCTCTCGAATATACGTGATCTTACAGACCAAAGTCTTTTCCACTTTCCTGAGAGGTGTCAAATACTGTAAAGCTGCAATAATGGATATAAAAATCATTTTTTAGGCCATACGAGAAGCAGAGCGTGTAAAGGAAATGAAACGAATGCACAAAGCTGTCCAGAAAGATCTGCCAAGACCATCAGAAGTAAGTGTTAGAATTTCTTATGCTTAGCTTAGGAAGTTTTAAGTTTCTTTTTATATATATTGATGCTTTTTACATCATTCATAAAGACCGTAAAACAAAATGTCATCTACTTTCTGGAATACAGTGAAGTAGTTCCCAAATCTAATCTTTAAAATGTTTCACTGGTACCAGTAAGAATTTAGAAGGGAAAAAAAATAAATTCTTTTTGAAAATGTAAAACTGCTATTTAATCCATGTTGTAACAGGTAATAACATTAGCATATTGCAGTGATAGTTTGGTAATTGTACTTGTTTTAAAATTTTAGGTGAATGAAACTATTCTAAGACCCTTAAATGTAGAACCACCTCTAACAGATTTACAGAAAAGTGAAGAACTAATCAAGAAAGAAATGATCACAATGCTTCATTATGACCTTCTGTATCACCCTTATGAACCATCTGGAAATAAAAAAGGAAAAACTGTAGGATTTGGCACCAATAATTCAGAGCACATTACCTATCTGGAACATAATCCTTATGAAAAGTTCTCCAAAGAAGAGCTGAAAAAGGTATGATTGAGTAGGCATATTTCTGTGTTGAGATTTAAGTATTTGTTTGATGCTGTGTAGCATGGACAAATATGAACTTATTTTGCCATATTGGTATTCATAAACAACTGACACATGGTTAGGAGATAAATGTTTATATTAAGTGTTATGAAAAGGACATGCTTTAAATACCTGCATACCCCATGTTCAATGGTCAGCCTTTATCAGATAAACACTGGCGCTGGTGGCAAGGTATTTTTGTTTCATGGGTGGTGTTTTGACTTGGTTGACAGTTGCTGTAGCTGTCATTTTCTGTGTTCAGCTCTGCTGTGTCTAAATAGATA